GCACCCACCGCAGCGTCCCGTTAGGCTTAATAAAGCAGAACCACGGGGACGCATACGGTCCACTTGAATAATCGGCGACGTGAGTACGTATCTTGCCGTGGAGATAATCCACCACCTTCCTTTCCTCGTCAGGATTGGGATATCGCGCCCCTCTCATGTTCCAAGGCTTGTGTGGTACGGTGTGGATGCGGATCATAGGTATCTTATCTACATCCAGCCTGCCACGCTCCTCGTCACTAAACGCGTAGGCGCGATGCTTTCTCTTCATTAATTCCACCATCAGCGTTCGCTCCTGAGGCAGCAGGAAATCAGACTCCCCTATGATCAACTCCTTCTCGTTCCCTTCGTTGATCCGACATGGCCCTGCTAAAGCACTTTCCCTCATTTGTCGAATCAACCCTCGTTCCCTCTTGTAATATGCTTCCTCGTCCTCTGTAACGAGGACGGGTACTGGGCGACACTTTTTATCTACCRTCTTGTACCGCCTTTGGGAATCCTGCTTGAGCCGTCCCCTAAAAAAGGCCGACTCACAGATTGTGTTTGTGCTGATGCGGGGTTCCCTCCACTGCCTGGAAGCCGATATACCAGTTCCAACCTTCCTGCCTCAGGGCATTCCAGAACTTGTTCCCTCAAGGCCTGGATGGCATCCGGATCTGCCATCTCATGCGCGGCCACCAGGTCCATGGCCTTCCCAACATCTGACAGGCTGAGGGAAAATGCTTCTACCCCCTCTCCTGCTTCGGGCTCTGCCCAGAGCCTCCTGCGCTCCCCTTCCGACTCCTCGATTGTGAATGATCCTGGATTGGGCCGGTTCCTTATACTCCTTGGCCCGGTGTTCCTGCAAGTAATTATTTCATAATTCCTGCAGGCAGGATCACATAAGAGGAGGATCAACGTCCCGTCATGTTTGTTGAACATCACGGTCTCTGTCCTGCTTAGGAATGACCTCCCCAGGAGGATTCCATGGTCCACGTCTGGCATTATGAAGAAGCATGCCCTGGCCTTCACCTTTCCAACCTCGACGATTACATTCGAGGCTGTCCCACAAAACACGGCCTTAGAGCTGGATCCATGCAGAATACCGCAGTCAGAACGGTCTATATCTAGCCCGAATCTGATCACGTCCGCCTCCCGAATAATGTTCATCTCTGCCCCGGTGTCCACCATTGCTGCGCAYTTGGAACCCTTCACCATCAAATCCACCGTACCGCAGGTTACGCACTTCCAGTCCATCTTCATACCTGACTCTGCCCACTCTGCCTCCTTGGGCAGGATCGTACCCAGATGGACATTGGGCACCAGGCGCCGTGATAACCTCCCCTTCAGTTCATCGCGGAGTCGCGGGGCTGACGCTAGGATTTCCTTCAGGGTCATGAGGTCATTATGCCCTTCCA